TCATCGCCCGGGAATTACAAGTCCAACTAATATTGTTAATAAAAAAATGTTTTTAATTTGAGGTAACATAGAATATTAAAATTTTTTTTTGTAACTCTTGGAAATAATTAACTTTGCATTATTTACATTAATTTGGGCTGCACGGTTATTTTATATTAGCGTACGCTAAAAGGATATAGAATTATTTTCATTATGATATGAAGCGAAATTTTCTTTACATTAAAGTTTTAGTATGATGCAAATAATTGCATCATATGCGAATATTTCCCTGGTTTTTTTAAATTATCTGAACTACTTCTACTCGCGACAATTAAATTTAAAAATTCACTGTTCAAAGATAACATCTGATTTTTTTAATTGGGTATGTAGTGAACGCAAAAAGTATTTGTACAGGAAAGATTTTTATGAAAAAACTTTGTTTGAAAATAAATATTAATTAGCAATTCATTAATGATGAGTAGCGTTCGCTATTCTAATGTAAACAAAAGAGTTTTTGAAAAGAACCGTCTATATGATCTCTTAGAAGTTAAATTTCTCGACTATACAAATATTGTGTGTCCAGATAATACAATTCTACATTTTTATTTATTATTGAGATAATATATTTCAAATATTACACATTTTTAGGTGAAATAATTGTGAGAAGTATTCAACCTGTTTTATTCTTTAATAAATTGCTAATTGATATTTACTTTCTAAAAATAAGTTTTCTAAAAAGATATCTTTTCTAAAAGATACGGATACTCTTTACACTTACTGTATTCTTTATACTATATGTAACGATATAATAAAATCGATACTGTCCAACGTACTGTATAAACGGCAGATGGTAGATACATCCAAATAATACAATTTTTTATGAGAGAGGAATTGAATTACAAATTTTGCGGCAATACATGACGAATCAAGACTATCTTTTATATCACAGTGTAACTATAATTTTAGAATTGTATAATATTTAACAGTTACCGAAACTTAATTTTTGCTTTTAATTTCATTGTAAACACTGTAAACACTGAAGATGGTCTGATAAAAAGTTCGAAACTTTGATAATTTAAATATATTAGACTTTAGCTCGTAGCTTTTATTGTTAATTTATGTTTAACAATTTTTTATTTTGGCTTGTTATTGAGATATAATATATTTTAATTATAATATTACACATCTTTTTAGATAAAATAATTTTGAAAACTATACGATCTATTTTATTATTTATTAAATTGCTAATTAATGTTTATTTTCTAAAAGGTTTTTTAAAAAGATACCCTCCCTATATATAAATATTTTTTGCACATTCACTGTATTCTTTATATTATATCCGTATAGGTACTATATAATGAAATCGATATTATTCAACGATACTGTATAAACGACAGGTGGTAGATGAAATTATGGCGGTGCATCCTTCCGAGAAACGCGCAATATTTCGGCGAGCGCAAAATTATTCGTAGCACGTTAAATTAAATTCGATATCAAGAAAGGAACTCGGAGAGGAACTACTCATGCTGGACATTGGACGCTAATGGCGCGAATGATGCTAATGACGGAACGGTTTAAGTGTACACAGCGGCCAGCGGACTCACGTAGTGAAAACTGTTACGTCCAATAGGTCTGGGTTACGGGGACATCGATTTCCTTATACATCGGCGTCCATATCGGTGAATGCCTGATCTACCTGCTGAAATCGGCCGTGTCGACGGTGAAAAATCACAAGCGTGATTTTCTACCGCATCAATGTCAGCAATCGGCGATTCCAAATACGTAACTTCGTATAATGCGCGATAGTCGGGAAAATGAGTGATTCGTTCGAACATTCAGCGATGGCAAAAGTCGCGCGAGTTGAACACCTTGACCGTGTTCAACCAACAAATCTTACATCTTCACCGTTTTTCCGTACACCGTTTTTCACATTTCCCTTCACCGAATGATTTACGCACTCTATCAGCTCCTTTGGGTTTCTCCACGTTTTAGAAAGAAATAACCGGTACGTTCAAGAGAAAAAAAAAATTACGATCATCCGTCTCAAAGATTCGGCTGTGAATTCTGCGCCGGGGGATTATTTGTCTTGAGACAAATGACGTTCGCGAATTTTTAAGTGACCGCAAAAACGTGCCCCATGGGCACACTTGGTTGGGAAAGCGTGAACTTTACTGTTAAATTCCTCGGATGGTGAGGCATGCGCGTTTTTCAAACTCGTTCATTGACATTTAATATATTCTTTGCACAAGTACGAGAACGATTTATCCTCTCTTTCACCTTCTTTCTCCCTTTTTCTAATTCTTTCTCTTTCTCTCTATCATCTCGTGTGTGTATATGTGAGATCCCCTTCTTTTCTCTTTTTTTTTGTCAAACTCTTCACGCACGTGTCTTTACTATTATGTAGTGCTGTAGAAAACGCATTTTAAGTACCGTGACTAGCGAAAGGATGTCAATACTGTGTACGTGTGTATACGGACGATGATATAAAAATACGAAGTTATGAATGTTACAAGATGATTTTGACAACTCACTGTAGAAAACATTTTGCAAACTTCTTGCTTCAAAAAGAATCTGCTTAAAATGATTATTCGATAAAATCTAAATATTTTAATTTTACGTTATTTCGTAACAAAATGATTAATGATATATTTTGTTGACAGTTAAATTATAGCTTCGTAAAGATTTTTTTTTTTAAATAATGCAATTAGGTCAAACATTTTTTTGAAAGAACATTTTACAAATTTCTTCTTTAAAAAAAAGTTTGCTTGAAATGTTTATTCGATAAAATCTAGATATTTCATTGCATTACTTTTTAACAAAGTTAGTGATACATTTTAATAACAATTAAATTATAACTTTATAAAGATTTTTTTGTTAAATAATGCATCTAGAGCAGAAATCTTTTTGGGAGTTGTGTTTTCAAAGTAGGTCATCGATTTCCACGAAAACAAAATTACTTTCTTTTTCTAGGAATTTACTTTACTCACCGCGATTAATCAAAGTATAGAATATTAAATTAGATATATATGCAATGTATGTCGCATTAGAGAACATATGAGGAATATTTTCATCAGTTATTCTCTCATTTTTCTAATATTATATCTCTCTCAATCAATTTATACGATATCAGAAATTTTATTAGAGAATTTAAATGGAATTTTATTAAAGGATTTACATAGCGCGTGTTTCGTAATTCTTTGTACTTCATTATATTTCTGAATCGTGTTACTTAACACGAATAACTTGTGGATAAATTTTTTTCTTCTTAGTAGTAATCTCAATCCATTACAAATTTCATAATTAAAAGTGTGATGTATAAACACATCAATTTCAAAGATTATTAATAATTACTAATATTAATACAAGTAATAATGGCACAACTCTTAATATAGAAGAGGTTAGGACCTTGTCTTGCATCATCACGTTTATATTTTTATTCAGATACGGTAGAGCCTAAGCGTGTCGCAAACTCTTCTTGTTCCTCCGTACGTTTCGTAACGTCTAATCCGCGAAGATAAATGTCACGAGGCGTGTGCAACGAAAACTCCAATAATCATTTTTTCTTCCGTATCTTTGCGCGAAGTCAGCTTGTGCGGAAGACATGCGAAATGACTTTTACTATTGTACGAACAAGCAATATGATTTTATCTTCTTCCCACGTAGCGAATGGAAAATAAAATATACTTGCTTTTGAACTTCAGCATTATTTCCGGTGGTTTCGGAATCTTTTCACAGAAAGGTACAGTTAATACTAGAAATTTGTCGTCTTTCGTAGTTTTTAATATCGCGATGTTTTGTGATCTTTTTTTTAGAAAAAAAATTATTTGCCACGTAAATATATTTTCCAAATTCAACTTTAAATTTTAATTCCTCAATATTTTAATTAGAATACATAAAAAAGGTAGAAATAATTATTGTTCATCAAGTATAAAGCCTGTGGTTTGTTTTTTGTTTACTCGATTCGTTTGACTGTTTGTTGTCAGAAGCACTTGAGAAAATTGGAAGTTTAACTTTAATTTTAATTATTCAATATTTTAATTAAAATACATAAAACAAAAGGTAGAAGTGGTTATTGCAGCCGAGTATAAAAACCCGCGGTTTGTTTTTTGATACTCGATATGTTTGATTGTTGTCAAAGGCACTTGAGAAATAAGAAGAGAGGAATTCCACGACATCTGCGTATCTACATGCGTGCAACAAGTGAATCTCTGCACCATCATCGTGCGGTGCGTGCCGTGCTCGCAACGTATGTATATGTATATATTCACACGTGTGCTCACTTTCTTCGAGGATGCGGTGACCAAAACGAGCAATCATCATTTCTCACTCTCACTCTCGCACAATGATTCTCACACTCGCTTCTCTTTTCTCCTTCGATTGCAATTCGCTCACGACTTTGACATCGTATACGTTCAAGGAAAGTAGTCCCGCGACGAATAAAACAAGTTTATTGAAAAAAATGTCTGTTTATATATACGTCGGATCTTGATCTCTCCTACGAAATCTGCGAATAATCTTTAAAAATGCAGACGTGCACTGCTTACGAAAGATACCGTTAATGTTAACATTAGATATGTTGGATAAGAAATACGGAATGACTTGCAAATATATTGTCTCAATTTATTACTTAACATTTATAATGCTGTCTGCTATCAAATTAATAAATGCTCTTTGACTTACATTTTAACATATTGTAAGCATGAAAATAATTAAACGATATATTCTAATAGTAAAAATATATTTAAGATTATTTTATTATATTTATTTTATTTACTTTATATTATTAGTATATATCTAAGACATATTCTAATAATAAAATAAATAAATTTATGCGTATATCGTGTGTGTAGAAAAGTGATGAATGAGATATGTTAGACATTCTGTTTAAACACCGAATATAAAATAATTCAAAGATTAGATTGATTTTTTTTTCCCTAATGTGTATGTGCTTTTATTATATATGTATATATATATATATATACATACATATATAATAAATATTAATAAAGGTTCAAACTCACCTGTAAGTGAAATCCTTTCCGTGGAAAATTATTGCCACCAGGTAGTTAAAGTCGATCTTCCTTCACGATTCGGCCGGAAGATTTGCGTTGTGCGCGCGCTTATGAGAAAGGTGAGAGTGAATAGCTGGGAGCATCTTCATTCAAGCTTTATATAGGTATTGTACCCCCTTACCTAGGTAGACTCTGTAGAAAGAGCGTGCCATCTCTCTTACTGTGTCTGCTGTAATTTTATCATCATAGTAAGATGAAAAAAATACTTGTTGACGAAATTGCATTAGGCAAAATTATTTCATGTTCGAAGTTCCGCCAAAGTTTAGGCCCTATCTATTTCAATTACTAAATTTATCGTAAAAATGGTTACGTTTTTCTACTTGTATTGCTCTCATTATAAATGTATAAAAACATTTTGTTATAATCGCGCGTAAAAAGATTAGTTTCTAGCAATTAACATTCTAAGGGGGATGAAAAAGATAACGAAATTTTATGTGATATAAAATATTTTTGAACTCGTATTTGTGATACGTTTCTTGTAATACTTATTAATTACGTCAAGATATACAGATAGAGAGAAGTAAATAGAGATATATCAGCATTTAATTCATTTAATTTAATCAGTACAAAGATAACTAATATTAAAACGTTGATGAACGAGGTAAATGTAATTTGGGGCATCGACTAAGAATACTCTCTTCCGTGTAAAAATAGTTCCGCGTATCTTCCATAAGAGTTTGATTAAGTGCTCCACGAAATAAACGTAAATCGATGAACACCTGTTAAATGATTTATTTGCCCGGTATTATCGGTGGTTCAACGTCGTTCCGTGAGACTCCTGTTGAGGAAAGTGACTTTTCTGAGTCATATTTGGGAATAATGACGATAATATATGAATTTCTACGTTATTCGTCATCCTTAAAAGGTGACAAGACGACGACGCGATATCTTCCGGGTAGTAAGAGTAGTCCTTAATTTGGCGAACCTATATTTTCATGCGAGTGAAATACGCTAGTGATGTTCCTTCTCTTGCGACGAAGAAATGAAGTTTCCGGGCATGACCTAATTCGTTCTCTCTCTCGTCCTGAATTCATTTATAATTCACATGATAGAGGGATCGTATAATGATTCTTACGTAACTGTGCCTTGAAACTTTTTCTATGGTATTCTATGGTAATCACATAGCAACTGTATTATTCGAATTAATGAGGTAATAAAAAGTAATTGTGTTTTTTACGCATTTGATGCGATGAATGTCGTTCTACGATTCTACGATACTCGCCAAACAAAACGCGCAAGAATTTTAAATGATTTGATTAGTACAACAATATTGCCATATAAATAATAATTTAATTTAATTTACTCTTGTTACTTTTCTTTAATATAATATTCAAACATATTAAAACTGACTATTGACAGTTATCAAACAAAACAAGCGAGAATTTTAAATGATTTTACATAATGAATACAACAACAATAATAATAATATTATTGTACAATATAATTAATAATTTAATCAAATTTAATTTACTCTTGTTCTCATTCTTTAATATATAAAATCTCTTATCAAAGTAATTTTAACGTCGCTTTTGGCATTTATTCTTCTGGCTTTCTCTGGAGATTGGGCTATAAAACGACGTGGGGTAACAGATTAAATTTTAGTTAACTAATGTCACGAGACTCTCGGCCCTATGCATTTGTGAACCACGTTCAGGGATAACAATATGGGATAACAGAGATTAGAACCGTGACAAATTTTGTCATTTTACTGTTCTTATTTAACCGAGAGAACGAGGACCTTATAAAAGAGAAAGCCGAGACGTAGGAACAATACAGACGAAAATATATTTACAGCCATGACAATTTTGATGTAGGAGAAAATATTGTTGACCGTCGATTAAATTTTTTTTGTCGAGCTTATTTCATCGCGCTTGCCGAAGCGAGGAAAAAAATCACTTTTGACGTTGTGAAAAATTCAACGGCTAAATATCGCGCCGGTCACGACGTTTTAAATATTCAAAGCCCACTCGATGGAAACGTGTCCAAACGTGCCCGCCAGGGTGATGAATGCGATGTGAGTACACCTGTGTGCTACAACTGCTCATCGTTATTAGGTATCATTAACGCCTCGGTGCATTTGATGAGGGCATTTCGGAGATGGGTTTTACTGGTCTTTATTGCGTGCGTACGCGGCAATTCCGTGAAATGCAACAAAGTGCACTGGTTTTGGACGCGCTGCGCTTGGCCCATTATATACATATATATAACTTGTAGTATTCCTGGAAAAGTAAGATTTTTTTTTAAATCACCGGCCAATCTTCTAGTTTCATTAAAAATGACGTAAGTGTACATAATAATGTGCACATATTGCACACATACATGTACTTACACAACTGTACAGTGAGAAAAAAATTATATTGATTCAAAAAGATATTAATTGATTCAACACACTAAATGCAACGGTCACGCTGTCAAGCAAATATTTGTTAATTCAAACAAGTAACATGGTTTAAATTACAAGATTTTATTGACATGATTCACGTATTTTAATCTAAATATATAAAATACTCGAACTGAATAATCACTACAAACTAAACGCATTTAGTCAAGTTAATAACTTTTTTTAATGTATATATAAGACTTTTAACATATCTGCTTTTCAATTTTTTCATGTCACGATCCGAGCACTATTGCCAGGTTGAGGAATTTTCCTCTAAACTTGGAGATTTTTTCTTTTCATCGAGAGATTTTTTGGGGATACAAAAAGTTTAAGAGAATTTTTGGGGGATCTTTTGAGAGGAAAATACAAAGAAATATTCAAATTACGGCTAAAATACATGAAAATCGCAAATATGGGGATAATTTTCGAACAGATCTGCAATCTGACAAGACTGCATCCGAGATAATTTCTGCTATTTTTCATCAAGTTTAATAAAAAATAAGATAGCATTGGCTGGACTCTTACTTCTATTTAGGTAGCAAGCTGATGTTGTCGTCATTTTAACATCATAATGACGACAAATAATGTCAGCTTGCTACCTAGATAGGGACTTTATTCGATCGTCGGACTGTATCGATACGTGACGCGCTTTGCGCGAGAACGTTATTAAATTCGTGTACTGTTACGTCGGGGTCGGGAAAAAGTTTACGGCGTGGTTAGGATTTTCTCCGTGGCCTGTGGTGTGATTAGCGGTTGAGCAACGCGCATCGCCGCCAGGAACTGGACGTTACAAGAGGGTTCTATACTTATTGGCGCGTCTGGAATCGCATTGTGTTTTCCGGAATTCGCATCAAGCCCACAATCCCCCGTCGCGTCGTTTCAACGACGCGCTCAATAAATTTAACGAGATAATCTAGGGTTACTCTTCACGGTTTACGCTTCACGAGTTTCATTTTCCTGCTCGGCACGCTTCGCGCGCAACGAACGCAAGGCCGTGCGCTTCATTTGGAAATTACACGCAGGGGTAAATTAAATAACGAAATTAAATTGCACACATTGCATTTCCTTGGAAATAATGACATTTTTATTTCAGCAATAGTTTATTCCCCTCGGGAACAGCTCCCGCTCCGGAGATACAACAGTATCCGATATCGTATAATCGAATTACTGGTGGCTATATAATTATAGCTCATTACCATAACTCTCCTAAGCATCCTTATTATGTTAAATAATAAAACCATCACGTGTCCTGGCACCTATTACTTCCATACACGCACATCACGCGCAGAACCGCGGAGAAAAAATTGTCGGTAAGCCTCGCGCGCTATTACGCCTTAAACGTACGATTTAAAGACGGAATGATGGAAAGAAATATGCGTCTTACGTATATACGTGCTAAGAGATAGTAATGTGGAGAAATATATAGAAAAGAACTATGGGGAAAAATGTACATAAACGTAACACTCATTCGCTACAATAATGTAACTAAAAAATTGTAATTTTTTATATAGTTGCTTGCAAAAAGAAGAAACAAAGAAAAAAAGAAAAACTTTTAAAGTATGTTTCTCTTTTGAAGTGAAATTTTATAATAACTCATTGTACAAGAATAAAGATATGTTTTAAGTTAAAATGTTCCATGCAGCACCGATAGTTGCAGAAAACTTTCAGCAAGGTTTCAAAATCATTTCGACTTTTCACATTTCATGTGTAACAATTCTAAAAGAATTTTGCAATATGTCACATGAAATGTTGCAGAAGAAATATTTCTGAAATTGTTCACATGAACATAATTTTACAAAACTGTCAGTTGAGTTATCTCTGAAACATTTTATACGAAATCGTTTTGCAAATCTTTCCAGTTAAGTTGTTTCTGAAACCTTTACATGCAATAAATTACACATCTCCGCCGACAGAGGGTCGCGACAGAGAACATTTACTCGTAAACAAGAATCACCTGGGCGAGAATTTAAGAAGCGCAGCATCTCGTCTGTACAGTGAGCCCCAAAATTGGACTCCAAAGTGAAAGTATATGAAGTGCGTTTTTCAAAGCAAAATTTTGTAATACATTTTTTTAGCACTGAATAATAGTGCATTTAATACCAAAACGAAGTAACTCATACAGCATAGAAACATTTTAAAGATATTTCAGAAATGTGGACATTTTGCTATCCCAGAGCTGTCTCAGAGCTATTGCAGAAACATTTTGCATTGTTTCTGAGATATTTCAATTTCACACGTGAAACATTTCTGAAATATCTCTGAAAGATTTTTGTGCTGTATGGGAAGGTATGCTTTAAATTAAAACATACCTTTATTCTTGTATAATCAATTATTACAAAATTGCATTTCAAAATTAAAATTACGATATTTTAATGATTTGAAACGTTTATTCTCAAAACATTCAAAATTAATTTTCTGGAAAACTTCATTTTGTTTTGTGTCGTTGTAGCAAATGAGTAATAATATCCCACTAAAACTTTTAAAGTGACTCTCACTCTGAAGAGTGAAATCTCTCACTTTTAAAGATTGAAAATTGAGCCACTCTTTTCCTGACTGGCTCAATTTCCACTCGTTAGAATGAGATTCCACTTCAAAGAATTCAGAGAGTATAGTTGAACGTCTGGGAACATGTTACAAATATTAATAAAGTTAGGAATGTATTGTGTGTTAAATC